AAAACCCAAAATTGAAGATAATCAATGCAGATAATTCATATAAGTATCTTTTGTTTTAACTCACAAAATAAAGCTATAATTATAGTTGATAGCACTGCTATAATTTCTGCTAATAGACGTAAAAGTCAAGTGAATGCAATCCTTTAAAACGGTTTAAAATTTACGCGTATTTAAATCGGTTCTGAAATAAATTAAACTCTATCTCTCCTTACTCTTAAAGCGAACATCGCAATAGAATAGTTTCGAGTCATCCCCATTCGTGTTCTCAATTTATCAACGAGTTTACATTATCTGCACTCTCGCAATGAAACTCAATTTTCATCTTATCTACTTAAAATTGTTTCTCTCTTTTTGTGTTCCTTTCCTCATTGAGCGCACTTTTTCCACAGCCAACTATAATATTTATCTTTCCACGCTCACTCTTCTCTCGACTCACCCACTTACAGCGAACGGTTTTCATCTGATCCGAACCAAAGAATTGGTCTGTAGAAGACTAAGTATTATTAAGTTAAAGTACCAACATTCCTATTGAAATATCCCTAGAATTTCAAACTAAACCTATGAATCGATGAATATTCGCGTTTCATAGCGAACGGAAATGATTTCGCAAAATTAAAGTTCGTTCGACCGTTTCAACCCGTTTTCTGTTTCAAAACGTAATTAATTTCGCAATGATCGTTAAACGGATTGATTGTCAAAACTGACGTAAATTTTAATTATCTGTCACGACTCATACCAACAAAAAAAAAACTGTTTCGCTGTTTAAAACGCATATTTGGATACAGTTTTCACTTGTTTATACAAACATATCTCCATAGCAACAGTAAATCTTAATAAACGTTCGAGCATTGCGAATCCATTACGGAATGGAGAAACAACATTTTTCATTCGTTTGTTTCGATGGGGAAAAGGTTTCTCGATTTTCGATCCATATTAATATTCGAATGCGAGCTTTATTTTTGTTTTCCTCTCCACGCTCTGACGATGACGTATGCGAGCACCGCGTCGTTTCTATTATTTATACGTCGCCCTTCGCAACCGAAGAGGAAAAAAAATGAGAAAAACGTTGACATCTGTCAATTGGAAAGACGCAACGATTTATCCTTTTCACCGCATTTTCTGCATACACCTTTTTTTTTTCTTCTTCGTTCACTTTTCCGTATTTCCGTGTGTTCTTGACGTTCAATTCGAATAGATAAAAGGGGACGCAAACGACGACGGAAGGCGAAGCAGAAGAAAGAAGTATTAGTTGAAGGATGAACGGATTCGTGAGTGGAAGAAAGAGAAAAAACTGAGAGAGGGTTTTCACGCTCCGTTTCGCAGATATTTATAAAGACATCGGGCGTGTTGCGTAATCGTTCGTAGCGATTGGTACGACTGAGAGGAGCAACAGAAAAAAAGAAAAACACGAACGATTTTCGTTAAACGACAACGACAGTTCGTATTTCGAATAATCGAATTTCCCGCTTCAACGCACACAATCAACGCAGCACAAATTGCATAACTTTAATCGCATTCAATTTGTCAAACTTTAATTATAAATGTTCAAAATAGATGGCGCTTCATCATTCAACGCACAAATTGCATAACGCCAATCAGATTCAATTGTTCAAATATTATTATTATTAAATTTTGCACAATAGATGGCGTTTGTTTTCTATTAGACTCTGTGGATTTAGTTTAATAACAAATAACAATAATAATAGTTGATGGAAACGTATAATTTTTTAACGAAAGCGACTGAGAGGAGCAACAGAAAAAAAGAAAAACACGAACGATTTTCGTTAAACGTCGACAATTTATATTTCGAATAATCGAATTTCCCGCTTCAACGCACACAATCAACGCAGCACAAATTGCATAACTTTAATCGCATTCAATTTGTCAAATTTTAATTATAAATTTTCAAAATAGATGGCGTTTTGTCACAGTTCGCCTCGCGCAATCAACGCACAAATTGCATAACTCCAATCAGATTCAATTATTCTAATATTATTATTATTACATTTTGCACAATAGATGGCGTTTTTTTTTTTTCTATTAGACTCTTTGCGGATTTAGTTTGATAACAAATAACAATAATAATAGTTGATGGAAACGTATAGTTTTTTAACGAAAGCGACTGGAGGAGCAACAAAAAAGAAAAACACGAAAGATTTTCGTTAAACGACAACGACAATTCGTATTTCGAATAATCGAATTTCCCGCTTCAACGCACATAATCAACGCAGCACAAATTGCATAACTCTAATCGCATTCAATTTGTCAAACTTTAATTATAAATGTTCAAAATAGATGGCGTTTCGTCACAGTTCGCCTCGCGCAATCAACGCACAAATTGCATAACTCCAATCAGATTCAATTGTTCAAATATTATTATTACATTTTGCACAATAGATGGCGTCTTTTTTTATTAGACCCTTTGCGGATTTAGTTTAATAACAAATAACAATATTAATAGTTGATGGAAACGTATAATTTTTTAATGTCGACAATTTATATTTCAAATATTCGAATTTCCCGCTTCAACGCATACAATCAACGCAGCACAATTTTTTTTTTTTTTTTCTCTCCGGCCCTATTTCTACCCCTTTCGGGTTTAACAGCCACCACAAATTTTTTTTGATTTTCGGAATTGAACCAACGACATTTCGTATCAGATGTTCGTGATACAGGCGACCATAGCCACACGGCTACGGCCGCCCTCAGCACAAATTGCATAACTCTAATCGCATTCAATTTGTCAAATTTTAATTATAAATTTTCAAAATAGATGGCGTTTCGTCACAGTTCGCCTCGCGCAATCAACGCAAAAATTGCATAACTTCAATCAGATTCAATTGTTCAAATATTATTATTATTAAATTTTGCACAATAGATGGCGTTTTTTTTCTATTAGACTCTTTGCGGATTTAGTTTGATAACAAATAACAATAATAATAGTTGATGGAAACGTATATTTTTTTAACGAAACCGACTGGAGGAGCAACAAAAAAGAAAAACACGAACGATTTTCGTTAAACGTCGACAATTCATATTTCGAATAATCGAATTTCCCGCTTCAACGCACACAATCAACGCAGCACAAATTGCATAACTCTAATCGCATTCAAATTGTCAAACTTTAATTATAAATTTTTAAAATAGATGGCGTTTCATCACAGTTCGCCTCGCGCAATCAACGCACAAATTACATAACGCCAATCAGATTAAATTATTCAAATATTATTATTATTACATTTTGCACAATAGATGGCGTTTTTTCTATTAGACTCTTTGCGGATTTAGTTTAATAACAAATAACAATAATAATAGTTGATGGAAACGTATAATTTTTTAACGAAAGCGACTGGAGGAGCAACAAAAAAGAAAAACACGAACGATTTTCGTTAAACGTCGACAATTCATATTTCGAATAATCGAATTTCCCGCTTCAACGCACACAATCAACGCAGCACAAATTTCATAACTTTAATCGCATTCAATTTGTCAAATTTTAATTATAAATGTTCAAAATAGATGGCGTTTCATCACAGTTCGCCTCGCGCAATCAACGCACAAATTGCATAACTCCAATCAGATTCAATTGTTCAAATATTATTGTTATTACATTTTGCACTATAGATGGCGTCTTTTCTATTAGACTCTTTGCGGATTTAGTTTGATAACAAGTTGATGAAAACGTACAATTTTTTTAACGAAAGGTTAAATAACACCGTTTGCGCTCGATTCTCTCAAAAGTGCTTCCTTTCTGCCGCGCGCGCACACACAAAAAAAACGTCCCTCCGCAACTTCCGGATTAAGCGGGCTGTGAATATGCAATTGACCCAAAAAAAACCCTCGCAATATTTCCGCCATCACAAGTGAATTTCTTCTTTCTCTATTTTCTTCTTCATCTTCTTTTTATTAGACCACACGTGCTTCTCCCTAATCTCCAGCTTTTATCGTTCCCTCTTTATATTTTCCACCTTTTTCTGCGCAAAAATTGCTGAGCTTTAACAGCTTTAATTCCGCATTTATTAAAAAAAAAAATATGAAGACTTTTTTTTATATAAAAATTTAAGAAATAATTAAGTATTTTAATATATGCTTAAATATTATGTTTTTAATTTCGCAAATTACATAAAACTAACGTCACGTGGTGCGATTATAAAATGTTTTCTTTACTAATGGTAACATTTTGCTTTTGGACGTTGGCATCATGGATTGGTGTTCGCGTGCGTGCGTCCACTTCGACGTAATTTATCGCTCCGAATCTCGGAATTGCGGACATTCCGACTTCGAAACTATTCCTGTTTTTTTTTTGTTTTACGAAACGTCGGTTCGCGTGTTAATTGAAAATCGCCAAAAAGATTTACGGTTTCGCGTTTGAAGTTTGTTTTCTATTTGTTTTTTGTGTTGCATAAATTTAATAATAATTTATATTACGTTGATGCCATCAAAGTTGCATAAATATGTATATAAAAAAAATATAACTTACCTGTATCATTCACAATCGATTTACCTATGTATAATTAACTAAAATTGATTAGAAATTGAAACGATTAATTTAAAACAGATTCTTTATTCATCAATTTCCTCTCACTCTCTCTCCTCTTACACATTACTTTCTTTATGTAAATTCGGCTTTACAGAATGATTATGTTTTATATGTATACATATATAAGTTATTTTTATTTATTTGGTTTTCTTCAATCATTGTTTTTTTTTTATTAACTTCTTCGATAATTAACTACAACCTCTTCATCGTCGTACACGTATCATCTGTTAAACTGTCAAACAAAATAAAGAAAGATAAAACAGCAATCAACAATTCAACTTCTCTTCTTACAATATATTTGTCTTTAGGATTTTTGGGGGGGTTGAAAAACGCGTTGGGTTTCTTTTTTTATGTACATAGCTGTGAAGAGGGTGGAGATTTCGTTTTATAAGTCGCGGGTATCTCGATGTTGTTTTTTTTAATATCGCGCGAGGAGTTTATTTACAACTTTTGGAAGGATTTGAAAAGTTTAATATTATGTATGTATATATATATATATTTATATTATATATAAAAAAAACGTAAACGATATCACAATAAACGGTTTTGGCGTATGATCGATGCGCAAAAGGAAACGTGAAAACGATAACAATTGAAAAAAATTGGGAGGAGTTGAAGATATTCAGCGCCTACGCGTCTCGTACCACTAAAATTCACTAGAAACGTCATTTCGGGTGGAAAATGTGGTTAGTTCACGCTACATGCGGTGAATTCATTTTTTATGGGGGTATTTCGTGGGATGCGGTTGGTATGTTTTATAGGGGATGCGTGTCCAATTAGAACTCGAATTTGCCAAGGGTTCATCAAGTGTTCTTCTTGGCCGCCTCCGATTTACTCCGTTTCGGTGGAGGCGCGTGTATAGGGGATTGGTACTTGGAGTTGGGACTGTTGGCAGCAATGTCGTCGCGGAATGCCAGGAATCCGAGCTGGGCGTGAGAGGCTTCGTTGAGGGCGCGCGACCTGATGCAGGCCCTGTACTGATCCGCGGATAACTTCTGTCCTCCGGGACCGCCGGAGCAGACCTGAAAGGACAAAGACAAAACAATTTCGGGATGCACGAGAGACACGTGAACACAATTTGATGATGATTAAAGGTGTTTGCGTATTACCTTCGGATGCCAAATGTGAAATATGCCGGGATCCGTAGCCCTGACGACCTTCATGTGACTGCGCACGTACTTCCGGTACAGCATGACGTCTTCGCCGCCCCAACCGACGATGTCCTCGTCGAAGCCGCGCACCTTCAGGAAGTCCGACCTACATCAAATTTCACATCGAATTAATCCACCGAAACCGAAACGTCTCACCATTACATTCGCCCGCATCTTCAACTTCAATTTGCATATTCCAATTGGAAATCCACCGTTCGCAATATACGAGAATAGACGCAAAGAGACGAACGTGAATTACATCATATTTAAATTCAAAGAACTAATTGGGTTGCATAAATATTATTATAATGTAAAACTTTGACAATGTTACAACCATTTCTTTATATTTCCTAGCACTCAACAAGAAAAATCCTAAGTCTTCTCAACCCTGACATTACGAATGCTTTCCAAGCAGAGGAAGAGGGAGAAAGACAGAGGGTTTAAGGGACAACGACGAGGACTTTATGGAAACGACGTAGCGCAACCAGCCGAGCAGCACTAAACGGGACAATTGGCTCTGTAATTGCCGCACAGTTACTCCAACACACAGAACAGAAAACTTTTCTATATCTTTTCAGCGCATTTCCAACAAACCTCTAATACTTTTTCACTCGTAAAATGCAAACGAAATTTCCGCATCAGAGTTTCCTATCAATCCGCTTTATCTCCATTTCGCTATGAAAATTACAACGAAAACTGTATCAAACTTATTTACCGCAATTCTGTCACGCTTTAAACTTTCCATCTTTCTTCTCCTATATTTTTTTTTGTTGTACTTCTTGTTTTTGTTTCTATCTTTTTTGCTGCTGCTGCTGTAGTTTAAATACGAAAGTTGTAATAAAGAGGTAACGCGTAATCCCTGGTATAAGTTACGCGCACACCGACGAAGCCGACTTTATTTTCCAAAAGGCTTAGTAGCAGCAGCAGCATTACTTCAGTAACTAATTAGCATCCACGACTGCTTTTTACGAGGCGAAAACAAAGTGCGCTCGGAATTAATCACCAGAAATTTATCCACCACCAACGTGCAAAAAAAACACAAAAAATTAAAGAAAACAAAACAACTGAACTAAACAACTGCGAACTGTTACCAAACTTGGTGGTGCGATAATGGCTCAACCAGACAAAAAAAAATGTATTTTGCATAATTGTCTCCGAAATTAATTATAGCAAGTTTGCCTTGAAATCGTAATAATAATAATCATTATTAACATCAATACAGTTGAATTACGTAAAGTTTTTATGTTAATTACATTTTATTGTACAACTTTGACAGCGTATTGCAAGGAAATGGAAAATGTTACAAATCTCAATGTAGGCTCATTGGAAATGCCATTATTTTGTCTTTAATGTACTTATTTGATGTTGTAATTAGCAAAATGTGAAAATATGCAAAATTTGCATATTGTACAACTTTGACAGCGTATTGCAAGGAAATGGAAAATGTTACAAATCTAATGTAGGCTCATTGGAAATGCCATTATTTTGTCTTTAATGTACTTATTTGATGTTGTAATTAGCAAAATGTGAAAATATGCAAAATTTGCATATTGTACAACTTTGACAGCGTATTGCAAGGAAATGGAAAATGTTACAAATCTTAATGTAGACTTATTGGAAATGCCATTATTTTGTCTTATAATGTACTTATTTGATGTTATAATTAGCAAAATGTGAAAAAATGCAAAACTTGATTATTGTAATGTATAGATTAGATTTACCTGTATTGGCAGGTCATTCCGTATCCAAAGTCCCTCCAGAATCCTGTATCCCTGGAGATGACCAGCTGATCGTTCTCTGGGGGCACTTCTCTTCCTTGCAGAGTGTAGACGACGTGAGGATTGTAGAGGCTGAACACGACCGGATAGTAGACCTTCTTTCCGGCCTGCGTGTTCCACCTGCACCTGTCCAGGAAGCGCGCACTGAACACCACGTCCACGTCGCACATGAACAGCAGCACGTCTTTACCGCCACCGCCACCGCTATCACCTAAACCACCCCACACTCTCTCCGCCCCGACGCGTAACCCTTTACCCCTGGAGAACGTCTCGTTCATGGCGAGGAGCCGCAGGTTGTTCGCGCTTCCACCGCTGTTCTTTGTCATCAGTACTCTGGACATGATACTTCTTGCCTCCGACAGACCCTCCTCCCCGAAGTAGACGACAGTCAGATGGACACGTCTATCGTTCTTCAGGCCTATTTTGACGAACTTGTCCATGAATCCCTGAAACGTCGCCGTCCTCCCGCTCAGTGGCAGGATGACGTGGATCAGTTCCTTCTCCTTCGGCCCCGCCAGTCCCGTCGAGCTGACCGTTTGTAGCGGTGCGAATGGTCGCATCACCACCACCTTGAAGAAGCCGTTGACGTAATGGTGATGGTTCGACGAAGAGGAGGTGGCGGTCGACTTGCTGCGGAAGTATAGTTCGTATTGGGTTCCCGTCGTCGGCTCGGTGCGGTATATACCCTCCAGGAAATCGTCCAGAGCGTAACGGGCCGTCGTCGTCGACGAACTCCTCTGATTCGTTTGGTTCCTGTTCAGCGCGTCGACGGCCTTCATCAGCGCCTCCAGCAGGTCCTTCCGCTTGAAACCTATCGGCTTCTCCACCACCCGTTTGCCCAGCCCCAGGTCTATGGGGTAGACTCGGGTGTACGTGAAGTGGTTGAACGGGATCAGCTCGTACTCGTTGTTCAGCGAGATGCCGCGCAGCACCTCCGCCGTCGACACCTGCTTCCTGATGTAGTGGGCGCATTCCCCGTTCGTCGGTGTCGCCACCACCGCTGCCGGCGACACTGAAGCATTCAAGTTCACAGTAAACGATGCACCTTCCTGCTGCTGTTGCTGCTGTCCACTACCTAATTACAACAACAACAACAAAAAACACAATAAGAAAAATTAAAAACACACTCTTACTACACAAAAATGACCCACTAATTAATAAACAACCGTAACCAAGCAACTGACGTACAAGTAACGAGTTATAAGGGATACCAACCATTTACTAATGAAACATCCCTATTGCATTTATATGTGACAAACTTAACACGTTAAGGACGGCGCTTTTCGGGTTGTCTGCCCCCAGAAATTTTTTCGTGGACGCCTATGGACTGAGTGAAAAGTCAAATATCTTACGTCAATTATAACCTTTAACACATTGACGACGGCATGACCCACCGGTGGGTCATTAATTATAAATAATAGTTTTGTTGCTATGTACGCAACATGAATATGATATATTCGACTTGAATAGAAATTGCAATGCTCAATTATTATTATTGCTTATTATAAAACCTATAGCAATTTTTCCGTGTTTCAATAAAATTCGAACCCTGTTGGGTATATTTATTGAATATAACAAAAATAAAATAGGATCATTCAATAATAGAAATGTTTATTTATTTTTATGAATATCTTCAAAACATTTGATACACAGTGTCGGTTGATCATAACACTGTGCGCAATATGTAACAACTTTATGAAAATTTCAATATTTTTCCCACAATTGTTATAAATTGCTTCAATATCATTAAAAAATGTATAAGAAAAATTTAAACGTTTAAAGGTTATAATTGACGTAAGATATTTGATGTTTCTCTCAGTCCATAGGCGTCCACGAACATTTTTTTTGGGGGCAGGCAACCCGAAAAGCGCCGTCCTTAACGTGTTAAACGTTTAAATTTTTCTTATACATTTTTTAATGATATTGAAGCAATTTATAACAATTGTAGGAAAAATATTGAAATTTTCATTCAATTCTATTTGAATGAAAATTTCAAATATGCTTCGCAAGTTAATTTTTTTAGTAATTTAATTTGTAAAGTATGCCTAAATTATGTCATAATATCACGTATTATTATAAATTGCTTCTAGAATTATTAAAATATGTATAAGAAATGTATTGGCCTTTGAAGTTTGTAATTGACATAAGATATTTGAGGTTATTCTCAGTCAAAATCAGTGGCGTACATAGCAACAAAATTATTTATAATATAATATAATTATTTATAATTAATGACCCACCGGTGGGTCATGCCGTCGTCAATGTGTTAAAGCTTTGTTAAAAGTCAAAAGAAGTTGAAAAAAAAACTATAATCTATTTTGTACTATAAAATTCATAAAAATGAAAACAAATTCGTATTCACTTTGATGAGTCAAAAGAAGGGATGCAGGGTTGCATATACACACACAAACACATAAATAATCAGATTGCGTGGACGTGTGTGACGTGTCAGTAATTCGGTTTATAATCAGCAGATGTCGGGCTAATTAAAGGGCGCACCCTTCATTAGGGATGCACGACCACGGCCCAAGACTCATCCTGCGACCTTATTTTTACACTTTCTCTCTCTATCTCTCTCTCTCTTATTCTCCTCTTTACATTTTCATTTTTTCCAGCAATTTCCGTCGTCTGTTTCCCTTCCCTTAACCCGGTTTTCATTACCTATCTCTCTCACTCACTCACTCACTCTACTTCCGCCCTCGGAAAAATTATGTGCAGAGAAAAACAGCTGAATTTAATGTAAGTCGGGTCAAGTGTTTTCCACGCCACGTCCCCAGTTGTTGTTTTTCCCCCTTTTTTCTTCTTTTTTTACAATGTTAAACCAAAAGGGCGAAATCTAATTTCCCGTTTATTCAAAAACAAAAACAAAAAAACTTCACTTGCACTTTTCCAGCATGCAAATTAAGTATTTTTTTCCTGTCTCATTCGAAACCAAGCAAAATATTTATGTACAAAAAAAAAAGGAATGAAAGTGACAGCTGTAAAACTGTTTCTAGATAAGTTTTATCCATCTACATTCAATAAACTGAACTATTTCAATAAACTCTCTTTCAACAATAAAACGAAAATTCTGCATATTTCGCAAAGGACAAAGATCGAAACGTATAAATAAATAAAAGTTCGCTGCACTCATGGAAACAAAACTGGCGCATAGCGAAGTTACATTCATAACTCAAACTATGTACTATATATGTTTGTGTGTGTGTAGGAGACGATTGCGACAAAACGCGCATTCCGGCGACGACAAAGATTCGAAATTTATTCGCAAGTTCAAACGGAAATTTACGACCTAATAATTTACAAAAGAATTGGAACAAGAATCGCGGCATTTATGGAAATCGCAGGTGGTGCCCTCTTCGATCTATCCACGAACCTAAAAAAGAGCAAAAAAAAAATCTGATGAACCGAAATCAGTCCATCTGTTACGACAATACGAATGAATCAAGAAAACGGATGGTTATTTGATACGTAGCGAAATAAATCTCTTCCTGCGTCCTCGAGGTGTAATAATGAAAATGGGGAGGTTAGGAGGACACTAATAGTTATGCAATACGGGTTGCGGCCTACAAGATTTATGTGCATCATTGGGTTGCCGTTGCTACACCCTCAGTATTGTTCTTCTGTTTTTTTCAAGCAACGCCTCCTAGGGAAAAACCTTTAGGAAACAATCAATTAGGGCCGGACATTCAGTCCTAAACTAAATATATATCCAAGGATAGAAAAAGAGAGAGAAAAACACTAAAGGTGTAAATTAAGAGAAAGAAAGAGAGAGAATCAGCTAATTCTTAATTAATGCCCGTTTTTTCACCGGCGCAAATAAATATCCTTTTCGAGCTCTTAATTTTCGCTTCGGCTAAATTAATTTGGGCTGCGAGCTTTAATCACCCTCCCTCACATCCTGACCATAACGGATATAAATTATTATTTGCCCTTCGCTCACTTGATGTATCGTCGCGCTACCCGCAACCAATGAGAAAATACACTTATTTTCCTCTCATTAATTAAACGCCTTAAATTAAAGACTTCGGAAACACGCCGAGATTTCCAACAGCTGCGATCTTAATGGATGTATTTTCATTCCACCTTTTATTTTTCTATTAATTACAAATCCTAAATCAAATATATACAGAGAGAGATAAAGTGAATGAAAAAGAGACATATATGATAATATAATTTAGTTAGTTCGTTATCAATGTAATTAATTTAACTATACATTTCACAACTCTTTTTTTTTTCAACAATTTAAATTCTCCCGCCTTTCCACCCCAATATAAACAACGGAACGACGATGATAACATCCAAATACACAACAACACACACGCCTAATTAAACCGGATACGCGCGAACGGAAATTATTATAATCCAAATTAATTGCGTTTGATAAAATTAACTGTTAAAATACGTTTTCGCAGCGCGAACGCACATTATGCAAATATTATACCATATCTGTTTGCATTGTTGCATATATATATACACACATACACACATGTACGTAGCGTTGCAGTTGTTTGCCCCACAGTCCTATTAATCCTTTGTTTTCGATTTAATATTTGACGCATCTTGTTGCCATTGGAAACATTGCTTTTAACCATTAATTTAAATACTGCAGCAAAAACTTTAAAACTCAAAAACCATGAACGTCTGTATTGTAAATGAAAAATTAAGTTAATTATCTCTTAGAAATTTTCTTCTAACTCTAGAAACAACGGAAATATTCCAAAGAATCACCCTGTATAATAATATAATTGCTACTCCACATATATATATATACATGTACGTAGCGTTGCAGTTGTTTGCCCCACAGTCCAATTAATCCTTTGTTTTCGATTTAATATTTAACGCATTGCCATTGGAAACATTGCTTTTAACCATTAATTTAAATACTGCAGCAAAAACTCATAAACCATCTGTCTGTATTGTAAATTAAAAATTAAGTTAATTATCTCTTAGAAATTTTCTTCTATTTCTAAAAACAACGTAAATATTCCAAAGAATCACCCTGTATAATAATATAATTGCTACTCCACACTGTTGGTAAAAAGTATAAAGAAAAATATGGAAAATGCGAGTGAAACAATATGACTATAATTATCCGATTGATCGATAGAGGGCGTTCAGTTTTATTTTTATAAGGTAGATAAACGATGTTACGGCAATAGAACAAAATTTATGTGTGTGTGTGGGGGGTTGCAATGAAATTAATGTAGCAGGGGTACCGCGCCAGTGAAAGATACATTTAAAATTCAATATTCAAATTAAAGCTAAAACTATACGTAATATAAATATTTAAACCATATATTAATATTGTTAACAGTTTTCGCGATAATCGCTTTTAACCATTAATTTAAATACTGCAGCAAAAACTCAAAAACCATATGTCTGTATTGTAAATTACAAATTAAGTTAATTATCTCTTAGATATTTTCTTCTAACTCTAGAAACAACGGAAATGTTCCAAAGAATCACCCTGTATAATAATATAATTGCTACTCCACACTGTTCGTAAAATGTATAAAGAAAAATATGGAAAATGCGAGTGAAACAATATGACTATAATTATCCGATTGATCGATAGAGGGCGTTCAGTTTTATTTTTATAAGGTAGATAAACGATGTTACGGCAATAGAACAAAATTTATGTGTGGGGTTGCAATGAAATTAATGTAGTGACAGGGGTACCGCGCCAGTGAATGCACTCAGCTTGAACGACGCCCTCTGTTGGTGTTATACGAAAGCGTTCCGAAGTGGTTGCGAGTGTGGAAGGCAATAATGGCTAATGGCCACCCTCTCTGTACTACACAAACTCCCCTCCCCCTTACCTCGCCATTAAGGAACACCGGATAAATGTAGTATATATATAGAGAGAGAGAAAGAGAAAGAGAGAGAAAAGCCGCGTCGGCAATGAAGAAGCCAACAAAAAGAAAAGAAAAGAAGTTAACCGTGCGCAGAGTGTAACTTTTGTTTCTTTTTTTTTTTTCGTGTGGCTGTGAGTGTGGTTGTGTTCTTTTGTTTTTGCTCTTACTCGTTAGCTGCAGCAGTTGGTGTTTCAGCGCCCGTATTTCAGCAGTCAGCCTCTCCACTTCCTGCCTGTTCTCCTCCTCCCTCTGCTGCAGCAGCTGCTGATAGCCCAGCTGATTCGAAGAATCCTGCTGCACGCCGATCTGCTGCGTCGCCGTCGATCCTGCACAAACACACAATAATACACAATTTGACAATTGACAAGCAAAAGTACCAACTGAAATGATTGCAACGATATGTACAATGGCGACATCTGCAAACAATGTGTCAACTACACTAATTAATTGGATTAGTAACCTATGCAACCAACATTCATCACTTAACTATTATGTTGAACGTAAGCGAGATGTTATTACGATTGTCTAAATAGTTAGACAACTTAAATTGGACACTTCATATTGCGCTTATAATAACATACTGCAATTACAAAGCGTCGATAATGGATAATTATAAGTATGAATTGTTGCTGACATGCATGTTCCGTGTAATTGGGGTGACCTACTCGGTCGTTACAATGTTACCCGCTTTGTAGGTGATCTACATAGCAAGACGTGTTATTATTATACTATTAGCATAATCAGCTCTAATTATAGAATTAATTTAACAATCAATATAAATATTTATCGTTAATTAATTTACAGTCAGATTGACATAATTGAATAATGTATATTTATGCAACACAATTCACATTAAATTAAAAAACGAATTGGTAACAAATGAAAAACAACAACAGCCAACTCTCTCAGATAAGCGATGTTCGAGTGGTTCAAGTGCGGATCCGAATTGGATACAATTACATCACTGTTTGTACAATAAATTTAGATAAAATTGATTTGGTCAATGGCCTTTTGTACTCATTTTTTTTATATCAATTACATAAGAAAAAAATAATATAAATATTTAAAATCAAAAGTTACATAACTTTCGTTGAATTTAATCCACAAATTTAATTAAAATTAATAGAAACTGCATCTAAAATTTAAAGCGGATTAAATTGAGTGCGGACGCATAGTTGAAACTAAGTTCGAGCTGAAATTCGTAACTCTAATTTAAATTAAATTAAATTAAATAATGAAGTGCTAAACGAATTGGAAAAATAAAAGTCTCTTCACCTTTTAATTAAAAACTCACTAAATACGTGTACTAATTAAATGATTGATTAAGTAGATTAAAGATAAAATTGTAGCCTTTCTAATGAGCGTATTGAGAAATTTGTTTATTTGTTAGAAGTTGCTTTGAAATTCGATATTAAAAAAAAAAACGTATCTTTACTTTTTCAATAATTACTCTATAACCACTAGTACTAATTAGATGATTTAATAAGCAAAATGAAGATAAAACTATGAGTTTGTTAATCATTTTATTAGAAGATTTGTGTTATTATCTGTTTTTGAGTTATAAGGCTTCAAAGTTTTTAAAATAATTCGAAAAAATTAAATGTGATGATCGAAGAAAGCTGTTTTATTGAATCCCCTTTTATTGAAAATTATTGTCTTGTGCTCTTATTTTTCCGTCGAGACTTGATTAAAACGAAATGATTTTCTCGAGAGATGATTTTTTTCCAGCCTTTTCAAACTGATAACGAAAGCAAACAACGATTTCCACCGATATAAATAGATCCCGTGGGATAAGTGTGAGTGCAGAAGATCACAATGTCTCCGAAAGTGTGCTTAATCTTGTGCGTTGCGCTCGGCGTATTCGCTGTAAGTTTTCTACAAAATTTACTTGAATTCTCCATTTTTTTCTTGTTGATATTTCTTTGTAGAGTTCTTCGTGGGGCGATGATTTAAACGAATTCGAGACTAAGAATCTTATCGAGGATTTCAAGAAAATCATCGAACATTTAAAGGAAACGATCAGAGAAACTATAAGCAGTGCGAGCGAAAGATTGAAGAGAATCCTCGCCGATGTCCTCGAGTTTGCGAAAAGAGAATTGGCGAAAGCCGTTGAAGATGTTAAGGAACACATTGGGATGATCCTCGTCGATCTGAAGCAGCTGGAGGAAAAAGCGCAGCTCTTGGGATTGGATATTAAAGAGTGTTTAGAAGAAACTAAATTGAATTTCGATCGATTAACCGAAAACACTATCGAGGATCTCCATAAATGCGTGGATAAACGCGTGGAAGAAGCGAAAAGTATATTCAAAGAAGCTATAAGTCTTTTCGCAAAAAGCTTCGAAAGCGTTCTCGCATTAACCGTCGAATTCGATCAATGTTCGGATAATTTGTGCAGAATTCAGGTGACCCATAAAGTGTTGAAAACTATCTTCAATGTTTCGAGTCAAGTGAGAGTAATCTTCAACGAATCCGTCGAATTCCTGCAGATCTCCGTACCGGAAGTCTCCAAATGCATCAACGAACGGTTGGCAACAATGCATCGCGAAGCTCAGGAAATCACCAAAAATATTCAAGTTTGCATCAACAACAAAATTGAAAATCAATAAAGTAACAAAACCCTAAACATTGGACAAATTACCAACTTTGAAAAAAAAAATTAATTTGTTTTCAGACAAAGATATCATAAAGCATCTCATTGAATTCCATGTAACTTTTAAAAATAAACGCAACATAAACAAATTATGATTATTTTTACTAATTGTTAGTATGTTTACATTTTACTGTATAACTTAAAAACTATAAAAGTTACATTTAAAATTAAATATTCAAATTAAAGCCAAAACTATACGTAATATAAATATCTAAACCATATACTAATATTGTTAACAGTTTTCGCGATAATCGCTTTCAAATTATGATAAAAAAATCTTTTTTTTTTATTTATGTACATAGCTATGAATACGTTAAATTGTATTTGAATGTGCATTTTATTATTATTATTATTTTGTCGGCGCGCATCCAAAATATTTCAATATAAACGTCGGCGTCGGTCATCAATCATCATACACAGACGTATATGAAAAAAAGAACACCCCTTTGCTACCCCCGTAGAATTGGTGGAGGGATTGGGATGACAATGGGGCCGGGAGGAAAAGGAGAAGAAATGGGATGCGGCGCAAATAAATATTTCAAATCCGGTACACATATTCCTGCTGCCACGAAGAAGTCATCATTTATTTTGCGCTCGAATTCAGAGAATAGCGCACTGCTGCTCCATTTTCTTCCACTTCTACCAACATTTTATTTATGCTGTTCCTTTAAAGAAGTAAACATTTTTTTTAAATTATTTTTTATTCATTTCAATAATTTTAGATATTAAAAAAGTGTAAATTTACGATTTCTTTTATAAATTTCGAACTTAGTGCAGAACCTCGTGGTACACCAATTTTGATCATTAGTGCAAAATCATGTTTCTGCTGTAACATTGGTTACATAAGCTTTATGTAATTCTATCTGCTGTTCCGTCGGTAGCATACTTAGTTATTATAGATAAACATTGGTAGTAACAAAATAATTTGAAGTATGTGACAGTTGTGTCAAACAATCGATTGGTGCGTCAAATATTTTGTTTCAATGCAGACATTATTATTTTTATTTTGTTTTGGTTTTGTTTACTCTTTTTTTGTTTTGTTTGATGGTCGAAGCTTCGTTTTGTAATTTGTAGAATTGCGTTCACAATTAGCGAGGACGTGTCGTGTCGGCGTTTGAGGACGTAATTCATTGGGAGCGGAGAGAGAGAGACTGACGCACACTAGAGTGCACGAGAGAGGGACAGATATAGGGGTTTTCGCTTCATTAGCCGAGCATGTTGGTAGCGTGTGTCAGGTTTCGGCGGGATGTTCGAAATTAGCGAGGTATATATATATATATTGATTGGTTTCGATGTCGCGCGGATAGATGGGGGTGATTGGTGGGTGGGTGGTGGTGGTGCGATGGTACAGATGCATCTATAGATCCGCACCGATAGTCGGGTTAGATGGATACACGCCGCATTGTTGTCGCAATCGATCAAGAACCCTGCGCCCTCATTCCATCTCTCATCCTCTTACCGCTGCAACCATATATCTCTTGCACTCTCTTGCACACTCGTTCATATATATATATATCTATATATAAAACTAACTCGATTTGCGTTTGATTGGCTGTGTCTATTGACTGCGACTACCTTTGCAGCATCGCTTCAATTAGCTCCGGATCAATTGGCCTCCTTCGATCGCGAAACCTTTCTTCTCCTCATCCTCTTACACAACAAATATTTGACAAGCTCACCGCAACCAACATTGCTCTATTGCATTGCACCTGTCATTCGAGAGCAAACAAATTTACATTATATATTTTTCACTGGGAAAACTACGCAAGTTTTCTCTCCACCTTTTCGTGTCCCAGTTGCATTTCCAGTTTCATCCTTGCGTTGTGCATCAGCAGTGTATTTGTAGTAGGGTTTGGGGGGTTGGTGGTTTGTGGGTGGCGAACTTCGTGCAAAGCAATATTGCATTTTCGTGTTTTCCCCACCAACACATGTTCTGCGTATTTCGGCCTCGCTCCAAAAACTAAATCAGTTTGCATTTCCATTTCCCTTCGCATAGACTTCAAAGCGCTCCTTCTTTTACAGTCGAAATCAATCACAAGCTACCATAATATTTACCGTAAACAAACTAAAGTAAATTCAATTTATTATGCAGTTACATTTGACTTTTAAAGTTGGCATTACAATCAACTAAAATATTAAATTCTATTGCTATGTCATAGTTATATGTCACGTTTCAATGTTGGCAGCGAAATTGATTTTTTTTTCATTTGTTTTCATTATATTAATATCGAAGGATTATAATAACATTGAATCCGCATAATTTCAAATGCTTGTAACTATTATACTAAAGTTACTAATTTTGTTTAATGTTTAGCATCTTTAAGTTGGCATTAAACGAAAAGTTTTCTTCGAAACAATTGCGACAAAAGCAAGGAGTGTCGCCTGAATCAACGAAGCGCCCACTTTGAACGTGAAACGTCTGCTTTATTAACTAACTTCTTTTCGGTTACGTTTTCATACTCTTTTTATTTTGTTTTATTTTTTACTTCAATTCTGGTAAAATTGGAAAAGCGAAGCGACGCAAGTTTTCGGTAATCCGGAGACGGTGTCTTCTCCACTTTAATTTTTTTTTTTTGAAAACTTTTCCAAAAGTCAATGGAGCGACGTTAAATAATCCGCGCCAACTTTCCTGCACTCAAGTACATGACCTGCAAAATTGTTTAAAAAAAAGCAGCGAAAGAGTTGAGCATCGATGAAGATAAAACCACTGCTTCTTTTGTTTTCTAACTTTGACAATTAGAAACTTATGTTACCAATGATGCATTAGAAATGTGTATGTAACCAACACATCACCAAAAATATTATATTGTTGGTTACATAAGTTTGAAG